AATTTTTAATATTTATTAATATATATGTAAATAAGTTGTATCAAATCAAAATATTAGATTAAAAAAAATAAAATGATTTATTATAATGAACAAATATTTATATAATATAATATTTATATGTATATTTTACATGTGAATTATAGTATGAATTCTACATATGAATTTTTCCTATTTTTAATTTTATATAGCTAAATAATTAAATACAAATATAAAATTTAAGTCGTATATATATATATATATCGCAAAAATAAATAATAAGTTATATAGCTTGTAAAATATGCAATCAATCATTTTTCTTAATTTTTAATTTTTCACATATAATTAAAATATAAGAATTGTATAAATTAGTTTGTTTTGAAAATGATAATTTTTTTTTTTTTGGAAATGATAATCTTTATCTAAAATTGTACTTTTTTTGCTTTTATAATTTGTAATTTTTATATTTTTTGTGACAATTTATTTTTCTTTTTATATTTTTATTTCATATTTTTTTGATTTTTTTTTGGAAACATATTTAGTATCACAAAGATAGCAAAGCAATAATATGTAATAATGAATTCATAAATAAATTATAAAATAAATACTTCATTTTATAGAAAATTTTTTTATAAAATTTTTTAAATAAAAGATTTTTTAAATACGATACAGAAAAGATTTAACATTTAATTTTTTTGTTTCATGTTTTGAAGATATAAGGTTAAGATGAACAAATTTTCATATTTTGATAATGTTTTGAAGATAAAGTTGAAATGAAAAAAATTCAATATAAAATTATGAATAAGAAATAATTAATTAATATTTTGTTATAAAATATTTTCTAAATGTATAGAATATACTATTTTATATATGATTATATTTATATTATATTTAAAGGATTATAAACAATTAGTGATGGAATGATAATTTTATATGACCTTGACATATTCTAAAATCGAGAATATAATATTTATATTTTTTATATTAAAAATTCAAATATAGTTTTAAAAAAAAAATGATGAAAGTTTATTCGATTGTTATTCTGTATTATATCTGCGATCATATGCTAAAAGTATAGATAAAGGAAATAATGAAAAAAAGAAAAAAATAACAATAATGCTCAATTTTTACTCTATCTTATCCATCGTGAAGAGATGTCTTTGATACTCAATAGATGGCATTATAATAAATTTTTATTTTATTCCTGGTCTTTTACTATTATTTTCTCTTACGTATATTTGCAATGCAAAATTTATATATCCAAATAACAGTTTTAATATCTTAAAAATTTTTATTGTCATTTTTGTTTATTGTAATAATTAAAAATACAAGTAATATATTTTATATGTATTTACTATTTGATCAAATTTTTATATAAAAGTATATTCTATATAATTGAAAATATATTTTATGTATAAATTAATTATTCTATATACCGCAAGGATTTTTTATATTTTATATATTATGCATATTTTTATAAATTATTTTCTATACAGAAAGTTCAAAAGTATAAGAATTCCAGTTAATTCCTGAGATAATTTCAGGCAACATTTTTCTTCGCAAAAACTTTCGTTATGCTTTTATTCATGAGTTATTATCAAAAAATATTTTATCCCTCTTTTATTCTCCTATTTCTTCTTTCTTTATCAATTTTTCTTCCTATTCTCCTTTATCAATTCCTCTTCCTACTCTCCTTTATCAATTTCTCTTCCTTTTTCTTTTATCAATTCCTCTTTCCTTTCTTGTTTTATCATTCTCTTTTTCTTCAATTTTTCTAATTTCTTTATTATGTTTATTCTGTTTTATCAGTTTATTCCTTCTTTCTACTTTCATTCTTATTATCTTTGTTTGTCATTTTTTTTCTTGTCATTTATTATGGCTTTTTTGTCATCTTCATCTCTTATATTATTCTTTTTTTTTTCTCTTTTGTTATCCTTCATCCTATTTTTCTCTTCTTATTAAAAACTTATTGACATATTAATGTCAGTTCCTATATGATACATTAATAAATATTTTTTTAATAATTAATTCATTGAAAATAATTTCGTTAAAATTGATACAAAAAATTTTTCTGAAATTTTAATTTCAAAATAATAGTTTAAAAATTTTTAGTAAAAAATGTATAATTAATGAATTTTTTATGTGATGTGCTCAAAATAATGGACTTTCTATCTTTTTCATAATATTGTTTTCCTTATCTATAACTTCAAATATCTCCTTATACATTCTGTTATATTAATAACAAATCGGAGTTTTAATGATTCAAACGCGAGATGGCGCTGATCAAAATTTTTCAATCATTGTCTAACTTATCGATTAAATTAATTCTAAAAGTTTTGGATCAAAGGAGAGAACACAAGTACGTAAGTATTAAATTAAAAATTGTTTAAGCAGGGATATATAATATTATAAAGAAGAATAATAATAAAAATGAAAATAAATTTTGAAATTTATGTAAGTACTTATATGTTTTATATATATTTTTATATATAAATTATTTTTCCTATGTTGTATTGATTATATATATTATATATATATTTTATATTAATTAGTTTTTTATATGTTTCAAGAGTTTTATTATATTATTTAGTTTTTTATATATAAACTAGCTTTTCTATATTCATTTCTATATGTTTATAAATATATATAAGTTTATATATTTTTTAGTATGTATATTTTTAAAA